AAAATGAGTTTGACATATAGTTTGTTTCCATACGTTTTTTCCCCCCAATTTTGTAGAGATATTTTGTATCACAATTCAAAATGAATATTCCAAAACGTGGACAGTTGTGGCCATCCATCTTATTTTGAAACCATACTGTCCCCTTTCTTCAGTTGCTCTACTTGCATCATTCTGATAAATTCATCGGGCTGTCAAACTGAACGCGTATAATCTATGTGATTAATGTGGCCGAGATTAATATATTTTAAAATAATATATTTTAACACAGTTTCCGGCACACTGGAAGTAAACAAAGTTGACCCTGGACAACAAACCACCGCGTGCTGCAGTCCGTTAGATCGGAGAGACCGAAACGGTAGTTCAAGATGGAGAGAGCTTGTGTCAAGCAGAGGGGGGACGAGTGGCAAATGGACCACTTTACGCACCGCTGATCTAAGCTAGCTGCTGGGCTAAGCTAGCTGCTAGGATAATTAATGAATTTCAAAATGCACAATTACAGTAATTAGTTTACTTTATATTCGTATGTGGTCATCTTGTTGCCCTGGAAAAACACATTGCTAAACAGTTCAAGGGGCACAACTGCTGGGCCATAAAAAGGGCAGCCCCGGTGCACAGAAATGTTAATATCTCCTGGACTGAGGTGTCTGATGTCTCTTCACTCTGATCTTCCCTTTGAATAGGTTGTTGATGTTGTGAACTCAAATTTTCACACAGTTTCGCCCCGTGCACATGTGTGTGTGTGTGTGTGTGTGTGTGTGTACATTTTGCCAGTGGTCTTGCAATCATAGGGAATAACACAGCATGATTGCACACTGCCCTTGAAAAAAATCTATTCCCTGTTGAACTCAAAACAGCCCAAAGCCTTTTCTCACCAAACTCAATATTTTTCCTGTATACAGTCAGCTATAGATGAACAAGAAAAAAAAAAAAAAGAAACAACAGGATTTGATGTACTGAATTACAGTAGAACATGTATAGTACGATTTTACTCAATCGGCCCACACAAAAAAAATTCACCTAGTAAACGTAAGATGGAGTTGCCAGATAAGTGTAGATATATATGAGATCACAAAATATGAGCACATGAAATGAATGAACTGTGTTATTTCCAGTCACATGTCATGTGTATTGGTCTTTTTCTTCCGGAAGCATTTTTGATCTGACATGCTTTCTCTTCTTGTTAAATGTCACTGACAGGTTTTGACATGAAAACTTAAGTTAGCAGTATTCAACCTGTCACACTGTATTTGTAAACAGCTTACGTTTCCTTCTCCACGCTTAGGGGAAAGGAGGTGAAGCCTGACGGCAGACAAGGGTTTTAACAAACATCCCCACATGCATACATAATGCCCCATTTCAAAAAATAAAAAAGTTTGCCGCTCCATTTAATACGTATAATTCTCTGAGCGCCCAGAGGATACCTTCTGTCAACAATTTCCATGTGCTGCATGTACTATACTTAGTAACCCTGAATCTCACTGTATGGCAAAACAGTTCACCACTTCTCCCATCCATCCATCAAGGGAATGAGTGATTTAGCGTCATGGGATTAGGCCTCCTGAGAAATCCATGTGAGTCAAGTTTCTTGCAATAATCTATCTATTGATGAATTTCCCTACATTTCTGTGGGATGAGCTGCTTTTTGCTGGGCAAACTTTGGACGACATGCATTGGCTACATCAGCTGCTGCATGCCATGTCCACGTTGCAGGATTATTGATTGATGTAGCTAAGTGGTGCGATTGCTGTCCTACACAGCAGCAGACAAGGCCGATAGAAATCCTGTGGATTTTTGTGGCTCAAGCAGGTTTAACTCATCAGCAGAATGGGGATCCCCTTGGCCCTCTGGGACTTGGGCTTTGGGATACATCAAGGGCAGGTGTGAGGGACAGGTGACCTTCGACCTTTGCTTTCCAATACCCGACTTTGGAACACGATTTCTGTCTCCGAGCTCAGGCTTAAATCTTTGTCACTAGATCCATTTGATGATGTATTGAGGGTTAGCTGCCAGCTCGGGCTAAGAGCTCAATATCTAAGTGTAAAGACACACAAGGGACCCAGTGGGTCTGTTAAGTCCCCTTTGTTTTCTACTCATTCTGCGTTATTCAGCAGAAACACATTGTGAAGCACTGGGAATTGGCAAGACTTTAAGACAAATGTGCAGCATCAGCTCATGGTAATGAATGATTTGCTTAATGAGCAATATTCACAATCAGTTTGAATTGGCTTTTAAAACCCAAAAGATAACCTCAAAAATGCACGAGCACTGTTGCTACAAAGGTGCGGTGAAATCCTTGAATATCCATATAGATTGCTGAAATATACTGGTAGTAATCCAATATTGCTTGTTCTTCTTACTGGTGGTCATTTAGTCCACCAACGGAATAAATCTGTTTTGTTTTTACATTCTGTTCCTAACCAGTCTTTGTCTTCAAAATCTTCCCTGAAACTGACTGCGCTGTAAATCGTGAAACATTTTGAAGGAGGCAGCAACGTACTAAATGTGCAACATCCAGCATTTACCAGACACATCAGATTATTATATTGTGTGTAAATCCCACTGCCCACCGCAAAATGTGCTTACACAAACGTACACAGAGCGAACATTTTGTCACATTGACTCGGCAACTGGATGCAACCAAGGATTAAGGATGACTTGCTTGTCAACATGCACATGCTCAACACACTGTTGATCCTTAAGTAACAAGACATTCGGTGAGTGCTGGGAAATGACTTCCTCTTTGTGAGGAGGTCTGTGAACGCAAAGCAACGGCAAAACATGAATGACTGGATACATCACGAAGGAGCAGTGAATAAGTAGGGACGTTTTGTATGGCCGCTTGCCTAATTTCTAGCATGCTTATTTTGTTGTGTGTAGAATTACAGACTCGTATTGAGATGAATGACTAAGTGTCTTCTCCATTTAAGTATTTTCTTTGTAACGCTGATTTGAATTATTTGTGTGAAACCATAAAGCGGTTATCTTTAAGATCTCTGACCACGTACAATATAACATTTTGTAATGATGCCGGTCACACAGCTCATTTTATTTTAGGTACTGCCTTTTTTATTACATGTGTACATTCTATGCTTATGCAACATGTGACTTGGTGGCACGCATGGCTAAAACATCAACCAGGTGGTGATTGGAATTTTCTCACCTTTTGGAAAGAGGGGAAGTAAACAGATGGCGACCCTTTAGGGTCCACAGTACATTGTCGACAACGAATCACAGTCTGCAGGGGAATGGAATGGCTGATAACCTCCATCCCATGGTTCCATCTGCTGAATCCTAAGCAACGACAGCACACGCGGACATGCAAACCCAGCCACTGGCAACTGGCACGCCGGCTGAAGAATTGTATAAAAGTTGAATCCGTAAGGATGATCCATTGTTTTCTCATTTTCAGAAATAACATTCAGTCATCTGTTAATTTGTTCTGAATTAAATATTTAAGTTTTTTTTAGTTCATTAAGTTTTCTGATCGTAAAAATCGAATACTGTATAAGCTCAACCTAGAAATGTGATGATGATGGAACACGCTATGTAGAATAGCCATTCAGAAGGAATCCACTTGGCGCTCGTACCTTCAATACAAAGCAATCTCGTGACTGTTTCTGGGACGTCCATTCAAAGCCCCTCTGTATGGCTCTATGGGACGATCCAAAAAGAAAAGAAGCAAAGACAATTGTCAGAAAACAATGCAAATCCTGTCCTTTGTCCAGTTAACACAAAGTGGTTCGTCATGTTCTTTAAATTCACCAGGTTTTCAAAATAGGCTTTTAAATCCTATTGTGGCAGAACAAGGCAGCGTTCTCAGAATAAAATATAAAAGGAATAATGTTGTATCTAATTGCAGTCCCGTCTCTGTTCTCCTACTGGGTGTAATCTGGCTCCATTCATGTTCTAATCACAATTCAGTCTGTGCTGCAGAACAGAATTACCGCCCAACATAAATTCAGGCTGTTATAATTACACCACAGGCTTTGGCAGCAGCTTCTGAAGTCATCAATATGAACTACACAGATAGAGTTAGTTGTTTTCATTGACGTCTCAATATTTGAGGGCGACAAGGAAAACTGGACATTAGAGAGCCACTCCATCCTGTTCCGTTGAAATTGCAACAAGTACTTCAGCCGCCCGCTCGCTCACTTCGAAAGCTGCTGCAGCACAATATTGTTTAGCCTGTTTGTATGTGGCGGGAGGTCCTCCTTCCAGCCGCGCTTCCACGAGGATTGTTGCGGCAGGGAATCCAAGCTTCTGCCGAAACAACAGCTGTTTCTACTCATGTAATGGCTGCAGGACGACTGTTCATATCCTGGCTTGTTGAAGCTGTCACAAATCATTAATCTTGGGCCTGTCTGTGGGGCCACGCTGTCAAGTCGTTTCTGGACATCTGTGGATAGACAGAAGTCTTACACATCGTTTAAGGGGTCGCCTCACACCTTTGAAATCTCACAAGACAGAACCTATTCCTTTTACCACATACTTGTGTGAGTGTAAATATGTTTTTATTGATTATCTGTGTAACAAACATTGAATGTATGAAGAGAACATCAAACAAATGAAATGTTTCTTTGCCAAAAGTGTAGTGTAGAAATAGAATATATAAGCAGAAACAATAGCAGAAGGAGCATGAAGCTGGCCCGTGTGCTCTCCCACGCCCTCGTCATAGAGGCTGAGCTACGGTTTGCCTCCCCTCTGGTTTTATGTTGGATCAGCAAAACCAAATAAGTTCTACACATATGTGAAATACCTAACCTATTCTATGAAAATAGAGGGCACGTATTACGTTTCTATGAATATTACAGCGGTGTTTGTGAGTTACTGCACAATCAGATATGAGGCCCAGCTGCTTCGCCTCTTCTCCATTTCAACTGCACATGCGCAAAGATTTTCAGCTTGAAATGCCTTTAATCATACATAAATTACATTTATAGCACCGATCAGTAGAGACATATTAATATTTATTTTATTTTATCATTATTTTCTTTTATTAGTTTTCGTGGTGACAAGGGCTCTGCCTGCTCTGCCTCCTCTGCCTCTCCTGCCTGCTCGTCCCTGGTGTGCACTTGACTGTTCAAGGACTACCAGCACTAATGGTGGGGTTTGTTTATGTCTTTCTCCCTTGTGCAATGGTACATATGTTGTAGTGTGGTTATATTGCTGGGAACTGTGCAACAGAGAGCTCTGCACATGTACCTCAGACCAAACGGCTCATCAAGGGGTTTAGCTGCAGCATAAGTGAAGTCTTGAGTAACTTTTCATGCAAGACATTGAAGAGAACCGCTAAGGGACACTATATGCCCTCTACTGGTGAATAGAAGCAAATAATTGAGTTTCGGTTCCTTCCATACGTAGTCACTTGAAATAATGGGCCAATTAATAATTATTCAAATGCTTAAGACAAAGGTATATTTTATGTAAGCAATGCATCTCGTTCAGTCTTGATCTTCAGAGCCACTAGCTGTATGTGCAGAGATGATTACAGGTTACAGTGATTAAGAAATAGGGAAAGTCCATTTTTCATTTTTCATTTTCATCTACCTATTGCTGGTGTTTGCAAATTGGAACAAATTAATAATGAAAGAATTCAAGCGTTAAAGTGAGATGTACATTTTAGCACAATCCATAATTGCTTTTTTAAAGACTAGCCTCGGAAGTAATTAGAGGTCGCAGTACAAAACACTAACTATTCAGATAATCACCATGCCATTAACACTTTAGGGGCTCTATTCTGTTATCAGCTACTTGGAAAGTCTGCTTCCCCTCCTTGATTTTGCTTCAGTCTTTAGACACAACATGTTGAATGTACTACTGCAAAGGTCACCGTGTAATACTCTCAGCGGATCGCTGGTCCAGAGAGTTATTGAAAAGCCAAAAAAACGGTTGGTGTCATTATTTTCAGAAACACGGTTGTTTGGCAGCCCTGTGCTGAGCAGAGTAAACTAATTAGAAAAAAACCATCTCCTTTTAGTGCCTGACCTTTTTAATGGTGGCAATTGACGAACTTGTGATCAAGTGCGAATTTCAATATGGAGGGAAACTCATCCTTATTGATCAAATTAAAAGGCAGCTCGCTGGAGAGGAAACACGGGATGACAGGTGTATTTTGTCATACTTTTTTCCAAATTAGCTTTAGCGGATAGGTCCAACTTTCCATGAATGCATACATGTTAACGTCACACGCCACAGAAAACTAAACCTAACTTTTGGGAAACTATAAATAAACCGTCAGAAGGGGAATTTTGCCGGTCTTTGATTTGTATAAGACATACCCTTGTTTGTTTCCTGACCATATGCCAGTCCCTTGACACCTTAAAAGAAAAACAATCCTTTGCTTTCAGTAGGACGTCATGCAGCTTTATTTATGGTCAATTTAATGTATTTACAGAATTTCAGCTTCAACCATTAACAAACCGCCCATGGACCATTCTTTTCACAAGGAAGGAAGTGAGCATCCTATTTATTACGGTTATTTTCCCATTAAATCCTGAGAAAACATCAAAAGCGGGATGATTTAATTAACAATGTGAAGAGTCTGTGTACAGCCGTCTGCATTTTGCAAATTACTCTTTGCTGAGAATAAGAGACTTATCAGGTCCATACAGACATCGCTGCACACCTCAAAAGAAGTTGTGTTGACACTAGGAAGCGGGAAATGCATGTCTCTCCCTGACAGAATTATCTACTTTGCAGGTATTTTCAGTTTGCAGTTTACAGGTTGGAAAATGAATACCTTTTCTTCTTCTGCCAGTAGAGTTTACAATTTTTGGTTGTGTGCTTTCTGAAGTGTGGACGGAACAAGGAATAGATGGGGAGTTAAGTGTTGTATCATTGTGATTTTTTCCTTCATAGCATTTCAATTCTTCGTATCTGGTTCGGACGGGAAAGCATCTCAAGGAAGCTCATTCTTAATGATTATTCCTCCCTTGCAACTTGAATTTAGTTGCTTTCTGTCTTCTTACTTGTGGCTAAAACCTACAATACAGCCAGGCACACCCAGGAAAGTGCCATGTACACGTTTAATATTGAAAAAGGAATAATATTTTTAATGGAAATGAAAGAAAATACAAGTTGGGGCATGTTAAACACTTAAAATGGTAATTGCACAACCTTAGTTTTTTGAAGACCTATGTGAATCAAAGAGCGATTGAAAGAACTAGGATGGGAATCGCTTGCATTCCTCGGGGCCTCCAACCAATGAACACATTGTTGAGATGGTTTCGCCAGTGCAGATAGTTTGTTTAAAGTTTCCTCATTCTTCCGTATTCCTCATAAACATGCCTGTGTTGTCTTAAGGAGAGGTGCCATGTCTGATTGTATTTCCTAATGAATTATGAATAGAAATGACTGGGGTAACACACTGGCTCCTGCTGGCAAAGCAGGAGATTGTAAGTTGTACCCTCGTGAAGAGACTGAAAACAACAGAAATAAACATCAAGAAGTGACAATGTACAAAAGAGGATAACAGGAGACAGGTATGAAGAGAGCTCCTCTCTTCATTGCTTGTTATCACAGTCAGAAGGAGGGAGAAAAAAAATATATATATATATATATGTGTATATATAATGTTTTTAGGGGTGACACTTCAATATCATACTTATGTTGCAATGTTCCTTCTCCTGCCTGACAGTTCTGGGTTGGAAAGTGCCTATTACAGCTCCCCATTTCCGTGTTTCACATAAATTCACGCTAAGACGTTTCCGCAGAAATGATCTTTTTTTTCCCATTGAGGAGCAATCTTGCTCTATTATGTGGGCTATGAGCGAGCCGCCACAGGTGAGGGGAAGGAAGAGCACGCTTAAGTATTGTGGTGATAGAAATGTCACATTTGATAGAATCACACTAATTACATGCCTTTACTAAATTGTTCTTCGATGGCTGAAAATTGTGTTGGCTAATGCCATGCTTTCAATATACATTCTAATTCTCACATTATTTCCGCAAAGAGTGGAGACATATTATCTGGTGCTTTATCATTTATTTTAATAATCATTTCAATTATAGCTTGAATCAATCATGAACGACCTTTAGCAGCAGCCGGTGTTCTTGCAGAAGAGAAAAAATTAAGCCATCAAAACATGATGACTAAGGCTTCTAAGCTATAGTTTAGAACAACATTATTAAAAACAAGACTTTTACTAGCACAGCTACTATCACTACTACAGTTGCAGTTGAAATGCATCCGTTGCTTGCTCGTTTCCTCTTGATTTTCCCAACTGTTCATTGCCGGTGGATGGGAAGTGTGTGTGTGTCTGTGTGTGTGTGCTTGTGTGTGTGCTTGTGTGTGTGCTTGTGTCATGTGCCACAGGGTGAGGGTGGGGGAGGGGGGGGGGGGGGGTGAATGTCATCAATCAGCATTTACCATCAGCTCTGAGGTATTGACTGATGATTCACCATGACAGAATCTCTTCTGACTCTAAAATGAAAGGCAGCAGCGGCAGTGTGAGGCAGAGACACTCAGTTGATTGGCACCTCATTGAGTCTGGCAGGGGAGCCGTTGATTGCACTAGCTGTCAATACCACATAATTGTTTTTCTTACATACTTGGTGCCCTCTGTTTTTGCAGCAGGCTCTACTATTATTTTTGTTTCATCCTTCCATCGTGCAAAAATGATTTTAATTTTGATCTATTAATAAGTGCACCCGTTTGCTTCCCATACAGTGATTTTATGGCTGTATTTGCCTGGTCGTTGATGCCGTGAGCAAGATATAATGTTTGTACACTACCGACACCAATACGTTATTGTAACATTAGTGTATTAGGATTCAAAACCCATCCCACTCGGCTAGATTAGCTGCATATGGTTGTAAATCTGTCCTTCACAGCTACCCGAGGATGTTTCAGAGTAGCCAGTTATGCCTTGGAGCTTTAATTGGGCCCCTTTTAATTATCACATTAAGTGTGTTACTGGAATACATATACTGAGCACCCTTCTGTCTTGACAAGGGTGAACTCGGCTTGTATTCACTGAAGTCAGGCTGAAATTTAGTTTAAATTTCTTCTTAAATGGCACCCATAACTGCCAATGAAACTGTTCAGGGCTGAGAGAGCAACCCTGTTTCCCACCCCAAGGTCAGCAATTTAATTGAAATTGAACCTGTCTACCTGATAGTTTGAAATAATTAGCATTATCAGAGTGGTGAAACGAAGAGTCTAGGATGACGAAAAATAAAGAGGACACCAGGCCCTGATAAAAGTGGCAGACTGGCGGCAAGTCATCACTTCTACTGAATTGAATGTCACTGTGATTGACTGGACTTGACTCTCCATGTCACACAAGAATCCCCAACAAGTAATGGCCACGAGATATAATGGAAATACAACTACTAAAACTTTGCCAGAAGTTTGAAAGGGTGACTTGACTTTTTTTTTTTCTCACATAAGGCGAGTGTATCATTGGACCTGCTTTGACCCAGCGTGTCTTGCAATGGTCAATAAATGCTCAACCTCTTGTCGCGGCGAATACATTGTTTTGGATGCGCGACTCCCAAGAATCCCCTGACCGGTGCTAGTAGCCTTCTCCTCCCATCCGTAAAACAAACTGTGCCACCCCCCCCCAATGGACTTGAGAAGTCACTTCTGCCGAGCCCAACATTTCCGCACCAGTTAATAAAGGGGAAATGAATTGTATCAGTGTGGCTGTCTTTGCTCATGGTGAATATAAAATTATCATAGAGATGGGTATTGGTGCCTTCGCACACTGAATTACATAGAAGGCGAGCCAGTGTCTCCTTGCACGCACTCACACACACGCATGCACGCACATCCCAGCAGCTTAAAATAAACTGCAGGATGGAATTACCTGTGGTGATGCCATCGTAAGAGGTGGTGGTAATAAGCCAAGAAGCACAGGCAAATTTCTCCCACAAGTCTACAAACACCTGCACACGTTAGTGACATTCAGGGCCTTTTTCTTTCTATTTTTTCCAACTTTCCTGTCTCACCGCGTCTTCTCCAGGCTCTGCTAAAACGTCTGAACATAAGAGTCAATTCTTGATGCGAGGCAGGAGAAATGTGACATACCCCTGTCTCTTTGAGGAACTTTGTACTGTTAAAGGTGGATGAAACATCAGACGTAAAAGGAATGGCACCCTG